ACGCTCAAACCTGTGGACAGTCTGTGGGCACAGGTTTGTGCTGGCCCAAGTGCTTGTTTACAGTCTAGCCAGACCAGTATAGTTCCCCATTTGAACAGAGGCGAGGGAATTAGATCACCCTGCTTCCCAGGACCGAGGTGTATTTCCATGTTGTCAGGCCATTAACTGCAGTGAATCAGTGAAGAACAACATCCTCGTGAGCATGGGTTGTGTTTTGATGGACATAAAAAGATGCTTTGATTTGTGTTTTTACCTTGGTAGCTGCGAGGGTGGTTGCAAACATACCCTTCAGGCGGGTGCTCCTGCTGGTTTCTGGTCCGTGCCCTGTGCATCCCGCTGCGTGGGTGCAGCTCTGTGCTTGCTGCGTGCCAGGGAGCTGGTGAAGAAAAAGCATTTTTGGGGTGGAAGGGGGTGGGAGGCAAGGTTTTCAGTCCTTTATTAAAATGAAGGAGTAGGTCAGGTTGGCAGAGACCTCGGGAGGTCGCTGCCCGTAGCTGGGCTACGCTCAGGGCCCTGGGGAATCGGTTCCCCAGTGGGAAGCTTGGGCAGGAGCATCAGCATCTCCTGGTGCAGGGAGAAGCCGGAGGGAGGGTTTGCTTAGGCAGCGCGACTGCCGAGGCTGTCGCCTAAGAGCTGTGCAGCACACACCGTGCCATGCCTGAGCACAGGTAGCTGGGGTAGACACGCTCTTCGGGGCTGTCACTCTCCTTCAGTTAAATGAACTGGAAGAGCCTGTGGGAGAAAACAGTTATTTGCTCATCAAGGAGAGGGCTGATGCACGTGGGTTGACTTGTCTAATAGCTTATCGTTACTCCTGCTGATTAATAAGCTGATATTAAGTTAGAGGAATCTGCAACAGCATTGGGCAAAAGTCAGGATTTCAAATCAGGGTATGTTTAAAGTAAAGCATAAGTCAATAAAAATAATTCTCTTCTTCAGAGATGGCAGAAACTTTCATTTGCTTCCAAAAGGCCAAAGACGCGGAAGGATAAAAGTAAGGGCTGTTGCAGGGGGAGCGAGGTGTAACCTTTTTGTGGGCAGGCTGTTGCCTTGCTGGAGGACTCTCAAATTTAGTGGTGATACACTTTTTTTTTTTTCCCCCCCAAACATTTGGCTTGCAAAGGGTATGATTTCAGTGTTCTGAAAAAAATCAATCCTGTTACCTTTTAAAAAAATATTGATTCTCTTTCTGTCATTAGCTTAAATATCTGCCTTTCTGAAATCTCACGGAAACCATAGTAACAATAAAATGGGATCTGGTAAGGGTTCTCTTCATTCTAGGATTCCTCTGGGATTTCTGTGCAGTTCTGCCTTGCCTGCCAGAACATAAAATAAGAACTGATATCCAGTAAACATTCATGATACGGTGCTGAGTTAATACATTACTGATGATATATTGTTAAGGTGAAGCTTGTAGTAGTCACAGTTCGGTTACAAAGAATATTTGCATGTAGCCTAAGAACCTGGGGCAAGGGGAGGTTAAAAAAGAAAGATACAAAGCTGTGTCAGCAGCCCATGTGCTAAGTTTTAGAAAATTTGGAAGAACTAACAAATATTGGAAAAGCTTTCTTCAAAGTTGAAGTGGAAATATTGCAAAACATTTGGTAAGTTTTGAACTGTAATGCCATTGTGCTGCGTGTATTTGCACGTGATGAGTTTCAAGCAGGGGGAAGTGGCAGACAGAGGCCACATCTTGCTTGGAGCCAAGCTTCTGATGGTGTTTTTTGGAAAATAAATGTCCCTGGGTCTTAACCCCGTTCTGTCAGGCAACTTTCTGTTGTTTGAGAAACCCGGTGAAAAATCACAGCCAAACTTTTGTTTTAGTAACTGTATGCATTGCTGTGAAGACTGCCTATTTTGTAACACCACAAATACAAGCTTTAAAAGCTAAAATCCATCAGCGACTCCAAGAAAGAACACCCCACAGCCTCAGCAGAACAGACTTCAGCCAAAACCGCTGCTTTAGATCTCCAGGTTCTGAAGACTCCCAGCAGTGACCCAAGGAGGAATCGCCTGCAAGCCCAAGTGGCGCAGCCTTCCTTGCGGCGCAGCCTTCCTTGCGGCGCAGCCTTCCTTGCGGCGCAGCCTTCCTCCGCTGCTGCGCAGGGCAGGTGGAAGAGGCAGGGCGAGGACGGCCCAGCGGTGCTGGGCCACGCGAGTCCTGGTGACTCATTCTTCCTGTCACATGAACCCTCCCTGCTTTGCTAATAAGCACTTAGTTGAATTTGAGATGCCTCGAATCATTAAAAAGGCTGGAAGGCATTTGTGTACCTTGTCCATTAGAAGAAAAATCTGTTTTCTATAACTGTATACCTCCTACAGCCTCCAGCTCAACTTCAAAAAGTAACTGTGTTTTTTTGTGTCGTTACCTGAATCGTAATGGTTTGAAGCTAGCAGTAAGATCAGCTTGCTTTCTCCTACATGAGGTAGCTGCAAGAATATATATTTCTTTTTACTATTGAAAGAAGAACATGGTAAGAATTCAAGTGATAGGAATTAATATTACACTCCTGTCTGTGTCCTCTTTTGTTTCATTTCTTGCAGCATTGTCGCATCTAGCGCTTCCCTTTCCCTCTCCTTGGTGATTGTACTTTTAGGTTGTATATGCTTACAGACGTCAGGGTTTTAATTTCTGCCACCCCCTCAACTAGGAGAGCAGGTAATGCAGGGCGTGCGGTACCCAGAGCGTCCCTCGTCTGCCGGAGCCTTTCCTCCTTTGTTAATAGACTAGTTCTTGTATAGGCAGAAGAAAAATGTGTAGAAGTACTGAATTTTCGTGGATAGACTGAAAATAAGCGTGGTGGAGCATTTTCTGAAAATGAATAGGCTACAGAGCTGGAACAGACTGAATCAGCTAGTTTGACTCTGCATTTTCCTGGATTATCTCTTAGGTTGCCCCTCTCATGCTGTGTGCAGGCTGCTCGTGAATTCCTGCAGCAGTGCTCCTTTTTTTTTTTTTTTAAAAGCTTATTTTAATAGGCAATTACTTCACAAGTTAGTTTGCATTTTCTTCTAATGACTGAACTCCATGGGGTTTATAAAATAAGGCATTTTTGTTTCTTGGTAAGGGCTCACGCTGAGTTAGCTGGTTTGAAAAGGATGAAGATGCCTTGCTGTTGTAGGAGGTGCTGCAGCTTATCGTGTTAATTGCTTGGTGCCCTCAGGCTAATTAAAGCTGCAGCCCTCGAGGCAGGTACCTGCCACCTCCGCCCTGGGTACCCCGCGGCCTCCCTCCTGGGGCGCAGAAAGGGCTTGGTTTGGTGTGGGCTCACGTCTGGCTGGGGGCCAGCATTTTAGATGTCTCCTGCTGACAGCCACAGCATCTGTGCTAGGAGGTGCTCTTGGCGTAATACGGATTAAATTTTCATCCAAATCACTTAATTTCTCCGGCTTCAAGGAAGCGATTCAGCTTTGTGCCGTGTGGGGAGTGCTTACTCAGAAGCTTAGCCTGGCCAGCTCCCTCTTTTTTCCAACTTTTCTGTCTAGAAAATGTGAATGGGGAGAGGATGGAGGCTCGCAGTTAGAGCAGCAAAGTGATCTTCATCTGATGGCAAAACAGAGACCTGTTGCTGTGATGGGCTGTTGGTTTGGTACAGCGGGACTGGGTAACAAGTGCTGCTGAATTTTTTTTCCAGTGCTTCCCAGTGTCATTTCTTTCCCTTTTCCCCCTCTTGGCTGAGCCCTTGACCTGCCAGCAGAACTGCTCGAGTCGTCGCCTGATAACCCAAGTCAGTTAAACCATACCAGGTTAAACTCCTTGAACAGCAGGTGTGTTTGAAATCTTTTTGACATAACTGGCGTTGGGTGCTATGCTGGCAGGGTGGGCAGAGCTCTGCGCCGAGGAGGTGGGAAAGCCAGCGAGAACCTTGTGTCTGGCTGCGGTGCAGTGAACCCAACTTGCAGTGACTCGTTCTGTGTATGCTCGCGGTTGTGCAGATGGAGGTGTGCAGCTCTCCGGTTAATGGCAGAGAAAACAAAACAACCCACGCTCTTCTCAGCAAGCTTGCAGGACTCTGATGTCTCACGGTTCAGACATGCAGCTGTGGTTTTGGATGCAAACATCCAATGAATTGCACTTCAGACATCTGAAAAACTGTTGGTTTTGACTTTCAGAGAGGACGTGGATGTAGTCTGATCTTTGCTCTTAGGCAGCAAAAGGAATAAAAACCCAAGACACAGAACAGTTAGGTATAAAATAAGACCTTCATTTAGAAGTGTAAGCTGATTTTTTTTTTTCCTTTCCTGATAAGGCATACAGTAAAATAAGAAGATATCCCCACCCTCCCTGCATTAAATGCTTGGGAAGGACTTGAATGGCAACCTGTGTCCCCAAAGAAAAGAAAGCAAAACGTCACGGGTGGCTTCAAGAGTATTAGCAGGGGTGTGCAGGAGGGGTTGAAGATGTTGAGGAAGAAGTTGCAGGGTTGCTTTTGTTTAATGGTGATGACAGAAGGGGGTAGTACCCCTCTGTTCAGGCACGTGGTTCAGTCCCAAGGTGCTTTTTTGAAATGAGTTGTCATTCTGCATAAAACCTCAGTTTCTTTGTTGATGAGATGATGAGAAATGGAAAGAAGAAAAAAAAATTAGATGGCAGCTGATTTGTAAATTCCTTTCTGGTGCCTTCTGCTTTGAACGCTTCTGGCCTGGTGTTGTCAGCTTCTCTGATCAAAGCCTGCGTTTGCACACCTGCTTCATGCAAGTGACACTGGATTTTTGATAAGCCGTATGGTTATTTATACAGAGCCTGTGGGAAGCACAGTGCACAAAAGAAACTGTCTCCTTTTCAGTCATACAGTGTGAAAGGTTGAAGGGAAATGGCAAGATTCAGACTCATAGGTATCATTATGTAGTCTAGCCATGGAAAAAACCCTGCCTTAGCAAAGCCAGAGGCAGCAGTGGAGTCTTTTGCTGGGTATCTCCTGCTATTCCCTCGGCTAAGCCAGGTGCAACTGCAGCTCTGAAGCAGTGTGAGTGGAGCGATCGGAGGAAGCGCCAGGGAAATGGAAAGGTACTGGGAAGATGTAAGCTGTGCTTGGTCAAAGTCCAGGTGTGTGAGGATACAATTTAAGAACACATTAAATCTGAGATGACACATTGATCATTTCAAGTGTGAGTGCTTCGGAGGGAAGCTGAGCAGCTCCTCGAATGTCCCGTGGTGCCGTAAAACAGTCTTCTTCCAGAACAGTCTGTTGTGTGCAATTAAAAAAAAAAGGGGGTAATTTCACAGAACTTGAGAAACCCTGTTGACCTCTCTTGTCCATGGGTCTGTTCAGCTGCAGAATGAAGAGGAGCCAGGCGAGACTGCACCAGTGGTGAACGATGCCCCTCCGCCTTACAGCAGCATTTCTGCGGAGAATACAGGTAAATTTAACGGAAAGGAAATAGCTAGGTTTCCTTTGTTGTTCTTTCTTACCTTCTTAATTATTCTCCTTATTGACGGATGGCATTGCAGCACCCTTACTAAGGCTGCAAAGGATCAGAATTGATCCAGAGAGACTGCTGTTACTTGTGGTTTAGAAGATGCATTTTGGCTACATTCATCTGATGTCATCCCATCAAGCGGTGTTCAAGTTACATTTCACAGTGTTCTTGGTAGATTGAAGACAGTTAAAATCAAAGTGCTGTGAGGATTTGTGGTTCCCCTCGCATTATTTGGCATTTGGATGATGCTGTGCTCCTTCCAAAAAGGACTTGTTACTTAAAACGGATTAAAGAATTCACTCTTTCTGCACTTTTCCAATAGCTAAGGACTTGGTCATAAGGGTTATACTTCTTCTGAACCATCATACTGTCACGTACCTCACTAGTAGCTTTTAGCAAAACAGCTTGTTTTGTGTTGGTTATATATCAGAGTATTTTGGCTTAGGTAAATCTCTTCACCTCCCCCCGAACTTTCATAGTCAATTGTTCAAATAAGATTTGTGAATCAAATGCAGCACACTGCCAGTCTCTCGAGCAGCCGGTCAGCTTTGGATAAAGTTTGAATGTTGTGTTTCTCAAGCTGCCTATTGACTCTCCTGTCTTAGAACGCTGACCGTAAAGATGTCCTATTAGTTCTGGTTCCTTACTGCGGCTTAGTGGCTGGGGCTCAGAAATGCTATGTTTTATTTTTTTTTTCTTTTTTTTTTTTTTTTTTTTTTTTTTGTTCTAATCCCTTTCCCCTCCACCAGAAAAAAATTTGGAGTCTCTGTGGAAAAATTGGTCACCAGTGGCCAGAGGCTTGCAGTGATCCTTCTTTGACTTGAAAATATGACTGCTCCTGACTTCAATAAGCAGAAGTAACACAGCATGCATCATTGTTTTAAAAATAAGTACAGCCATGCATGCTAATGTAGTGCTCTGTATATTGCTTTGTATTAGAGAAGGTGCTCCCATGTTTTTCACTTTCTGATTGGGATGGCAAGAGGCTAGAAGGATGGAGACAGGAGGGGCAGGCTTCAGCAGCCTGGGATATTGGAGTCTTCTGAAGTCATCTGAAACGCTTCTCATTCCCAACATGGTGTCTTAAGGAACTGAGAAGTTACCTTTCTATATAACTTCTTTTTTTGCAGCTTATTTTGATTACAAGGATGAGTCAGGATTTCCTAAGCCTCCATCTTACAACGTGGCCACAACACTGCCTAGTTATGATGAGGCAGAGAGAACCAAGGCTGAAGCCACAATTCCCTTGGTTCCTGGAAGGGTGAGTACGCTTGGCTGGCTGTAGGTCCTTCGCATTTCTTCTGTAGAATTTCTCGTTTAACTCCTGCTGATCAAGTGTCATGACTATTTTTTTTTTTTTTTTAAATACTTTCTGGGGTGGTGATATTACACACTCCCAAGGGTTCTGTGGCTAATTTTTTTTTTTTTTTTTTTTTTTTAATTTTCCTCTGGGCGGCTATGATGATGTAAGACATCTCAGTAATGCGAGCATGTGCTATCCAGATTAGTTTGGCAAGCTGACAGAGGAACTGTACTGTATCTGTGTGCACTGTCACTGGTGGTGGTTTTTTTATTTTGTTTTGTTTTTAAAAAAGTTTTAGGATTAATTGTTCAGCTGTCTATCACATCTACCCTTGATACTCCAGCCGCTTACTTGGTTGACTTTTTCCAGAGGTCGGTGTAGCTGATAGAAGGATGATAAAACCATTCTGTCACAATCATTATTTTTTCATTTTTTCATTTTTTCATTTTTTCATTTTTTCATTTTTTTCTTTTTTTCTTTTTTTCTTTTTTTCTTTTTTTCTTTTTTTCAACATTCTTTCTTGTTCAGTCTCCTTCCAAACCCCTGCTAGCATTACAAATCCACTGCTCATTGTACTTCTTCACAGAAGCCAAATTCCTTGCTGAGATAAGTTTAATTTTTTTATGAGTAGGGGAATTCTTTACAGTGAGAACAAGAACATGATGGATCTTGACTATCTTAAAAGAAAAAAATACTGACGGTGACTTAATATTTCATGCCCTGCACCAGCTCAGGATGAGAAGCAGGAATTTTTCCTGCTTGCATTTGTAGCCTTTTGAGATTTAGGATTCCACCCCCCATCCCATGGGGGGCTTTCCTTAAATGTAAACAAAGCATTTTGTATCCCTCCGTTGTACACTGCTTTTTGAGTGCTATACAGTTTGCTGGCCCTTTCATTGAAGAGCCACATGCAGAACTGGGATTGCTGTATGGACTGGAATGACTTAAATCCACACACGTCTTGTCTCCCTTTGATTTGCAGGATGACGACTTCGTGACACGGGATGACTTTGATGACACTGACCAGCTGAGGATAGGAAATGATGGCATTTTCATGCTAACTTTCTTCAGTAAGTACATGATGGAACTTATTTTTTCCAGGCAGTGACCCAAAATAGCTAGAGTTATTTTCACAGTTAGGTTTATGTAGCACCAGGAAAAACCTGTGTGTGAGGGTTTTACGGGTGTTTTCCTTGGAATATAAAGAGGGCTTGACCTGCTGATTTTCTCCTGCTTTCTCAGTGGCGTTCCTCTTCAACTGGATTGGATTTTTCCTGTCTTTCTGTCTGACTACTTCAGCTGCAGGACGATATGGGGCCATTTCTGGGTTTGGTCTGTCTCTTATTAAGTGGATCCTTATTGTCAGGGTAAGTTCTGTAGTGCAAAAACACGTACATAGACACTGGTATCCCTAGCTTGTTTTTATTTCACTGATACTGAAGCTAGTTATAAATTCAGCTTTTTATAACGAGATAGATTTTGAGCACCTTATTTACTGAGAACTGCGCTTTTTCATCATTCTGTCCTGTTTATATGCTGGAATTATTATTGTAATAAAAGAGAATAAAGATTGCACACCCAAGTGTGGCGCTTTCTGGCAGAGCCACTGTGTTTGTGTGTTGAGCAGTAACAATGTAGAAAGTTTTTATAGAAATGTTTGGTTTACATCTTTGTAAAACATTTATCCAGATAAAGCAAACCCTGCCGTCCACACAGCAACGTTCCTCCCCAGTGTGGTGTTCCTTAGGTGCTCCTCTGAAAAAAAAAAAAAAAATTCTCTAAAATGTGGGATAACCGTGAGCATGACTGATCAGAAGTGGGAAATAGGGAGTTGATGATTAGGAGGCGTGAGGTTTGCTTTTCGCTGGAGGAAGAAGAGGCAGCCACCGCTTCATCACATGGACGGGAGAAGCCCGCTGGTGCCCTCTGGTGTGATGTGCCTGCGGCACAAGCAGCAGGGGATCAGGAAGAAGCACACTTTTCTGTTTTATTTTATTTCCATATTATCTCTGAGCATGTCCAGGCTGTAAAAACATCCACTGGGCTCCCCTCCACCAGATCACAGAGGGAGAGGAAGGGGGTGACTGATCAGAACTGGTTTGTATTGTGGCAGCCTGGATGCCCCTGCTGGGCCCAGACCTCTGCCTACGGAAGCAAGTAAGGCTGACGTAGTGTTTTTAAAACTTGGAGGGGGAGAAAGAGGAACCTTTCTGGAAAAAAAGATATAGATGTGCTGATGCTGGAAGAAACGGGGAAAAAAAAAAGTCAAACTGTTTTTTGGAGTGACTGTGAGAAAATACCAGAAAAGCTTTATTTGGAGCCCATGAAAAGAAGTTATCTGCGGCAATGGCACACAGACATCCCAGGCCAGGTTTTGAATTTCAAACAAAAAATCTCATTAGCCATGCACAAGTAGAAGTAGTGTTAGGGCTGTCACTTCACACCTTATCTCTTTGGGCTAGAAATTCTAATTTGTAAATATAGTATCTGTTAACTTTTTCTGTAGAAAGTTAAGATTTTTAAGGTCATCTTCTGACAGTGGTGTTAAGAACTAGTTGCTGGATTAAGTGTGACAGAAACAGGTGACTGTAACTGTGGATTTGATTTAAACTTTGATAACAAGCTTACCTTTTGTTGGGTTTTTAAACTTGAATAGAACGAAAACCAAAAAAAAAATTATTTAACACTGACAGAGTGAACTTCAGTGCTCTAATAGTGTCGGTCCCTTTCATTCAACAGGCAGTAATTTTCCTAATAGAAAAGCTTGTCAGAGGGTTCCACGGGTCTGGGATTTCTTTGTCAGCTCTACTTTTGTTTGCTATACTATCCAACCTTGCAGTGTAATTGGCGTGATGCACTGCTGCAAACCTGGTCTTCCCTTTCAGAAACCGCAACTGTAGTTCATAAGCATCAAAGACGTGGAAAAATAGGAATATTTGCTCAGTAATGTCTTTCTGCTCCACTGATTGCAAGAGTTTGTGGTTGGGTGTTGAATCTTTGAATCTGTCCCATTCCCTTTGGTTAGAGTTGATCTGGCGTGTGTAGAAAAACCTTAAATGAAAATTTGTGGAGGTAGCTTGTTCCCTGCAGCCTGTGCAGCTGATGAAATGTAGCATTCTGCGAGCTCTCTTGTATGCAGCGGACTTCATCTGGTTACTGCTGAAATTGGTGAGAATAGAATTGGGTTCAGAAACTGCCATGTGCTCTAAATTGGTTTTTTTTCTCATTTTTTTTTCTCTTTTCCTTTAGTTCTCCACCTATTTTCCTGGTTACTTTGATGGCCAGTATTGGCTTTGGTGGGTCTTCCTTGTACTAGGTGAGTGTTTGTTCTGTGGGGAAGAGGGAATGCATGCTTAAAGCTCTGTAAAGTGCAATTAGGGCTTTTGTGAGCATGGCTATTTTAAATATGTGCATAAACCTGAAATGTAACCCTCCAAGTATTCCTCCTCTTACTTAATGCCTTCTATATTTTGAAAGTACACATAAACACTGTCCTTTTGTTGTCATTTCTTGGTGGCAGCATCTTATTTATCATCCAGGAGGAGTAAAGGAGAGAACAATGCCCCCCCCCCCCCCCCCCTTTGAAAGTGGCTGAATCTCATTTGGAGTCAAAAGGTTTGTGATTGGCGAAGGAAAGTTTGGTTTTGAGATTGCCTGAAATTGAAAGATTAGATATTAATTAATTGAAGAAGCCACACCTGTGTTAACTGGACAACTGTTTTTCTTCCACCTAGGTTTTCTGCTGTTTCTCAGAGGATTTATTAATTATGCAAAGGTTAGGAAGATGCCAGATACTTTCTCCACTCTCCCCAGAACCAGAGTTCTTTTTATTTACTAAAGGTAAACTTTCTGCTTTCCTGGATTTGCTCTGTTTTGGTTTTAACTCTATTTAGTTACTCTTTTAGGCTAGCCTTTTATTTCCTTGAATATTTTTAGAACAAGGCAGAAGAAAACAGTTGTTTCTTGGTATCCCATGCACAGCTCCTGTTTCTGCGGACTCCTGACTGACTTGGTGGGGAGCGGAGGAATGCTTGACATTTCTTCCTGAGTTTTTGCTTTGAGGAATTGTGTATTCATTAGGTTGCATAACTCTAATTGTAAGAAGAAAATCTCTGCCCCTTTGCATTTGGCAGGTGTGTCTTTCAGAATAAATAGCGTGCCTGAAGCACGTGATATGTCCTAAACACGAGTAAAGGTCACCAAATGTTTTCAGAAGATTGTGCCAGTGTCTTTGGCTTATGTCCCAGAAAGAACAATTTGTCTGAATTTTGCGTGCTGTTTGGATTTTCTGCCAAGTTCCTGGAGAAATTAAAACTCTCGCACACCTTCGCTCTTCGAAAACCCCTCCCACGTAGTTGAATGTACTGTCCTACCTGAACATATTTCAAAAACCTTAATGACTAGAAGTCTTTTGCTTTAAGGCTGAACCTTAACATTGCTGCCTTCTGAATGGGGCTCTAAAGAAGGAGGCTTAAGTAGTTGAACCCTTCTAGCATAATTTCCTGCTTGCAGCAGATAATGGCCTTACATTAACTGTCCCTCCCTGAGGGGAAGGAAATCCTGTAATAGGTTGCTTCCCAGATGGTGAGTGCAACGTGATGCTCCCTTTAGAAATATCATAATAACACTAGATTTCCCCAAGACAGGGTTGAAGCAATTGCAGCTGGGACAGTGGTATAAAGAAACCAAACCAAACAAACCCCAGCTTTAAATTGGGGGTCATTAAACTGTTCAGATTTTCAAACTGAGGCTTGATTTTTCCAAACGCACTTTCCTTTTATTAGAAACTGCAAATTGCGTAAGATTCTGCTTCGTTTCTAGTCTGTAATGAGAACATGCTACACAAAACGGGCATTGTGCAGTGTTTTCCAGCTTGAGTTTTCCACTGGTGATAGTGTGTAAAAATAGTTCAGTCAATTTATTTGTTTCAGTTCTGTTTAACAAAGTTCTGGTTTATGACCTCCTCCAGGATTTGTAATATCCTCTCAAATTTTTTTTTCACCAGAGGGTTTATTTCCCTCAGCTGTCTGGTCAGGTAGTACGAGCGTTTAAGAATCCGCTTTATCATCTGTAGTTTGTTCTCACTGAACAATTTTTTTTATTTTACTTCTTTACAGAAACTCGATTTTTTCATTTATTAAAGGAACTGCGTGGTTTCTTGTTGCGCAGGCTTTCTCTATGTTTGGAATTTGAAATTAGAATTTTAGAGATGTTGCTTGACTCCTTGCTTGTGAGGATGGAGGTGTAGAGTGTTTTAAAATTGTTATTTATTTGTTTATTTTTTGTCATTTTGGAGCTTTCAAAAAGCACTCTCTCCCTTAGATTTATGGAGATAAGTGTCCAGAATAATTTCTAAATATTGTAGCTTTGACACTTCCCCTGAAAACAGACCTTCAATCCTGGATTTGGAGCAGGGACACCACCAAAGACTTGAATTTTCAGTGTATTACTGTTCTTAAGACTAGATTTCCTCTGTAGAGCGTAATGAAAAGGGCATGGTGAATGATCGTTTTCATTTTAGAGCAGGGATAATTTTTAGAAAATTAGGAGGGGAGGAGGAGAGGAATAATTCATGCTAACCAGAAAATAATAACCGGTGGAAATGAATCTAATGGAAAGCTCGGTGTGTACCATGTAATTGCGTGTGCTAGTAACGGACGTTACCCTTGGCAGGATCTCAGCAGTGTACGGGCAAGCGCACGCCGTTTGTGTTGGATCCCAGGTTTGAACAGCTCTGGCCGGCGTGGCTGGAATGGGCACCTCGTGAGAGCTGCTGTGTCTCTCATGCCACCGCACTTGACAGGAAGATAATAAAGTCGTAATAAAGTCGTAATCGCCCTGGGTGAACTAAAGCAACTAGAGACCCGGTCAAATTCTGTTCTCGCAGTGCAAACGCAGTGTAATTCCATGCAGCACTCTGGTTTTATGCCAGTGTTTCTAAGAGCATTGTCTGATTTGGTGTCTGTTTTCCCCTAAGGAATTTTAACTCTTCAGAACTGGAAATACACTCACAAAAGTACTGAGTGTTTTGCTAGAGTCACGTCATTGTGTACCGAGGTGGTCCAGAAGCCTTTAGACATCCTGCACTCTTTGTGAACTACATCCTTCTGTTATCCAAAATAACAATCTAACTATAGTTTCAATATTCAATATCCTTCTCCGACAGATGTTTTCTGGCAAATGTCTTCCTGCGTTAGTGAATTTTCCCTCAAGAAGCAACAGGACACCTGCAGGAAGTGAATCAAGACTCTGGAGCAGAAGAAAAAAAAAAATAATCACCTGCTTTAAAATAAATAAATAAAAGTACTGTTGGGAAAAAAAAAAAGGAGAAGCATTTCTTTCTATTTGTTTCTAGGTGTAAAATTTTAATAATTAATGCAGAATTCTGTAACCATTGAATCATTAGTGGCTAATGTTTGAAAAAGCTATTGCAGTCGAGTCTGTGACGTGCTAATAAAGCCTTATATAGATAGTTTCTGTCGTGATTTCGGTAGCATGAGCCCTGCCCCCGGAGCCAGCAGGGGACAGGCTTGCATTATTTCCTCCATCCCGGGAGCGGGATTTTGGGCTCTGGTCTGTCCTGTACAGCCTGCGTCACGCTGCCGGCCCGACGGGATGATCTCAGAAGCTGGAGTGATGGCATTGCTGTGGTTACGCGCCTTTCTGCTGCGCAGATCCCGCGGCACCTGCGCTGTCTGGGGCGGAAAGGAAGCATGGGGCCGTGCGGTGCAGGTTCTCGAGGCGGGATTGGGAGCGAGGGGTATTGTGAAGGTGGCACAAGTATTACTTTTTTAATAGTCTATATTCTCAGTGTTGTAGTATACTTTACTTTCATACTACCTACTTTTTGGACTATATAGGGGTTTTCACGGTACACGTCAGTAGTGTAAAAATGAAAGATCACATTGCAACTTTGTATAAAAAAATTACCTTGCAAAACAAAGGCCTTTTTTTTTTTCTTTTATTTTTCTTTGGCTTGGGACTTCTGAGACAATTCCTAACATACCTGTAATTCTTGCTTTTATAATTTGTGTTAGCAGAGACTATGATGCATTATAAATGTAGATTTAATGTGCACTTCTGTGCTTTCTGCCAAGTGGTAACTCACTTTGGAGTTTTACTATGTTAAAACTGTAAATATAGCAGAACATTAATAAATGTCACTTATGTAGCAATTTTTTGCTGTAGAACAGTGTTTAATTCAGTTTCTAAGCTCTATTGCACCTGGTCATTGATTACAACTGCAGGTGATCTGTGGGAATTTCATTACTTCTCCCCAGAAGGTGTAACACACATCTCCACTTCAAGGTGTCTGTCCTCCTTCTTGTAACCGGCTTTTCCAACCCTGGGACAGCCTTCAGCGCCAGCCTGGCAGGTCAGGAAAGGGCGATTCCGTACGTTTTTGGGGGTGCGTTGGGCTTTTTCTTAGTTTCACCTATCTAACTTTAAATCTGCCTCCTGAAACAGTTTGTTCGCGGTTTCGGTTTGTGGCTGAACTCCGATGGATAGCCCTCAGAAGTGGTCGGGGCTGACGGAGATAGATGGAGGTTACAGAGACTTCCTTTTTAAACAAGAATAAGCATACACAGAGAGAATTATTAAGTTTATCCTGCAAGGCAAAATCTGTAGCATTAGGGAGCTCTGAATCACATTTGCCCAAACTTGGTAGATCAGCCTCGTGTTTACTCTCTTGGCATCTGGGCCTTATTTGGTCTTGTGTATTCAGAGAACCGGAATATTTGGCATT